CCTCCCATGCCCCGCCCCCCAGCTAGGCAGTGCCTGCTCTTGCCCCCTCCCTCACTGCAGGGGAGTTGATCTGTCCCCCATATCCCTTCCTTTCCCCCCACCTTTCCGACTTACCAGCTGGAGGCAGCTTTCCACACTGCTGGCTCTGCTCCGTGCTGTGCTGCGGCTGAGTGCAGCACGGGCATTTAATCAGCCAAATTATCAGCCCCATTTGGCCGATATCAGATATAGACAATTTTCTTTATAAAATCGGTACCAATCTAATATCGGGCCAATGTATTGGTGCACCTCAATCCATAAGTCATACTAGCTAAAATACTTAAGTGTCTAGGATTTCGAAATCCAAAAAAACAAAAAACCCCAAAACAAAAAGACCCAAAAAACCCAATATAAAATAATGCAGAATTACAAGGAAACTATACACTTATGTTCATGTCCTCCCCTTCTGGTAAGAGGGCTTACTAGTTAATTGAGAACTGAAGTAAAATGTAGACCATGCTTTCCACTTGCAGTTTAATTACATATTGGTGCAGGCTGGAGAAGTACCAATTGGCTTACTCTGAACTTTAGCATAGTGTTTTTCAAGCAACGTGCCATGACCCTGTTTAGATGTGCAAATGCCTAAACATTATTTCACAAGTTATGAACCCAGAATTTTCAAATAGGAAACCATAGTGTCAAAAACATTATGACATAGTGTATTCTTTCTGATTTCTTTGCAACAGAATCACTCATTTTTCCACAGTGCAAAAACAAGTGAAATATAAGACCTGTTTCTGAGGAATGCCTTAAGTCTGAAAAGGTTGAGAACCATCACGTTAGCATATCTATATATGCATACACATGTTCAGGTTAGTGAAAAACGTATTTATCTCTAGTTATACAGAAAAGCTTGGCTACTAGTGGGATAGAAAAATCAGAGCTTCAGCAGATAATATCAGGCTCAGGAGATAACACACTTTCCTTTATCTCTATAAATGCAGTGCTGCACAACAGTGCTTGAAGACCGAAAATATTTCATCTATTTTATTTTCTATTAAATATTTGCTATTTTCTTTTCAGACAACTCTAATTGTTCAGTGTACCAGGTTTTTTACCTTCTAGCTGTGGAAAAGTCCCTGACAGTTTCTATTTTTGTTTTCACTAGATAAAAATAATCCAATTTAGAATGAGATAGCTGGCTGTGTTAGCTTGAAGTCAGGCAGAAGGCCGGGTAGAGGTTCACCTTACAAACTAGCTGAAATCAGAGATGTAAGCCTTTTCTGATTAAGTGAGCTCTTGCTCACAAAAGCTCGTGCATCCGATTCCATTACTCCATAACTGTAGTTCTCAACCTTTTTAGATGCAAGGTCCCCATGGAAAATTCCATCTCAAGTTTTCACTTGCTTTTTGACTACAGAGAAATAAGAGAGAATTTCTTCTGTTGTCAAGAATGCAGAAAGACCATAACAGGGCAGAATCACTGGTCTATAAGGTGCATCTCTACTCTGCTCTCCGTCTGGTTTAGAATATAACACAAAACCTAAGTCAGAGAGAAAAATTACGGTAAAATCAGACTGAATCTTCTTGCAAAAGCAGAAATATTCCCTGTTATGTCTTCACCAATACTCCATACAAGTACTAACTCACAACTGACAAGAATGTGAAAAAAATTGGACAATTCAGATCAAACAGCTGTGCTTAAGATCCTGATCTCTCAAGCATGCACCGAGTACAAAACTATGTAAGGGGTCACTGTGATAGAATCTACAGCAGGGGCAGGCAATTAAATTTTGGCTGAAGGTTCGTATAAGGTGTTTTGGTGAGCTGTGAAGGGCCACATGGTCCTGACAGCTGCCCTACCCGCTGGTCACTGTCTTGGGACTGGAAGTCCCACCCCTAACCCCTAACCTTTGCCACCAGACGTCCCTCCCCTTGCCCCCTGGGAATACTTCTTTTGGAAGGGGATTGCCATCTTAGAACCAGAAGAAAACCAAATCATACTGCAAGTCAAACACCTGCTATAACATATTTTTGTCATGATTTGTGTTCGCATAGTGTATATAAAGGTGATTGCATGGAGAACAGCCAGGAGATGCACAGGCAGGGGCTGCTGGGAAATAGAGTCCAGCTGTGGATCAACCATTTTGCTTACCCCTGCCTTAGGCTAAGCAGGAGTTTGAACTCTGGTCTTCCCTTTCCTGTGGTACCTAAACTGAGGCACCCACAGGAAGGACTTGGATATGGTCTTTTAGCCCTAGGAGAGGTTAAAAATGTTAGACGACCTGGGATAGACTGAAATTGCCTTTCAACATGTATTGTGGAGTTGCTATAGGGGAACAACATTATCTACTGCTTACCCCCAATTATACGGAAGTTTTGTAATTGCTGAACTGGATTTTAAACAGACTTATGCAAACAGATTGCACTTGCAGAATTATTTTAATTGATATACAAGGTAACAAAAAATTACAATGATTTTCTGAAACTGCTGCTATGGCTACAGAGACAAAAAAAATGACCAATATTAGGAGAAAATCCAGGATTTTTTTTTTTTGACAACTTTAGACTTCATAGCTTGGAAAGAGTAAGAAGAAAAACCTCACATTTAGCACAGAACTGTGCCAGGTTTTAGGATTAGTTCTGTTAGCAAGTTACCCATCTTCTAGTTTAACCTGAATCCTTTCTAGGAAATATAATCTGTTCCAGAAGAAGGATTAATTTCACTTTCAGGAGAGTTCTGTACATACTAATAAAATAAATAATTAACTATATTAATACAATAAAACAAACACTAATAGTTCAGTACTATTCTTAAAGCTCGATTTATACAGCCAAAAGTTTGCTGTATACATATACATGTCCTGATATATTCTACTTTAGAAATAGCATTAGAAGCCTCTAATTATATACTACGTTTCTGGATTCTGCTGTCATCTATTACCTCTATTAACAGCAAATGAACTATCAACAACTATCCTGCCTTTCATTTAAAGAAAACAGATGTTTAGTATTTTGAAAAGAGGAGCACGTGCGTAGCCATAGAATACATGGGGTCATTGTGTGCCACTGTGAAGAATTACTGACGAGAAATCAAATAATATTTAAGAGAAATTCACCAGATACAGATCAAATTACATACACGTTTAAAAATTGTTAGACACCATTTGTCATTCACTCATTTGTTAATGAAAATCAGAAAGTTTACAGGCAAATTTTGACTCAAGTATTGGTTCAAAACAGGTAGTTCATAACTTCAGACAAAAAGGTGAGGTTAGGTCAAAGAAGGCTGGCCCAAATAAATGTCTTGTTTTCTTTTCTTTTTCTAAAAGGACCAAGTTTACATGCATTGTAATCTGTAGTTCAACAGATTATAATTAAATTAAGGTCCAGATATTTTAAGGTATTTAGGTACCTAAAGTGGCCTTTAGTCCAGTTCATATGTACTTGTATAAAATCTGGATTTTTGATCTTCAAAAAGGACCTGTCATTTTTTGCACAAATAAAAAGTTGTTTTCCTGTAAGACAAACAGACCTCAAAATTACTGCAAAGTTATAAAATGATCTAAACATTCATTTACTAGTTATTTAAAGTTTTATTAATATTTTATGATAATTCAGAGAAATTTAAACATGCAGGATTGTAAAGAAATTACAGGTTAATTAAATACCTTTTAAAAATGTTAGTCATTTGCCATTTTAAGTATGCAGTTTGAGATGCCCGACAACAAACAGATTTCCAGAAGCAACAATCAAGATGATGAGTACTGTGTGTGGATCCCGAAGAGTAATCTGAATTAAGGTAGCCAATGTGAATATTTTAAAACAGCTGTTACTGCACAGTCCTAAGCATCTAGCACTTTTCACAGAGGCAAAAAAGTACCAGTAAATTCCACCACTGATGAACATGTGCCCCATGCACTCCAGGTCACATATGCATTTTGCTAGCGGAAATTTGATTGGCATGTGCACCTTGTCCATCTTTGTGCCCTATACTGAGTAGTGTATGCGTCACTGTCGTTCCTTCTCCACTGCAGCTTCCATAGTCACATACTGGAATGCATGAAGGAGCAACATTCCCCTGGATGAACTTCTAAGGCAGTGAACTAATTTAGGAGACAGGTGCTGCTGAGATAGTTTTATTCACTTTCAACTGAAGAACTGCCAGGCCAATAAAGGTATCGACCCAGAAGACCCCCCACCATCACACAGAATGTCAAGACTTGGAATCCTATGCATACATCTCAAGAACAAGGATATATTATGAGGCTACTTTAACTCTTAGCTGGTGAAGGAAATTCTATGACCCAATAATATGACCTCTTCAAATCCACTTTGTCTTCGGTTAGGAGGCAAAGCAGGCTTCATTATTTCTGTAAGCTAAACTAAACCTTGAACAAGAGGCTGCAACCTCTCGAGATACAAAGCAAAAGCCCCACAACAACAAAGGGGGTTTGAATACTTTAATTTAAATGGGACTTTCATCACCTCAGGCCTTAGATAAGCCTAAAAATAAATACATTACCTTGTAAAATACCATTTCAACTAGTATTTGAGAGAGAAGGACAGGGAAAGAGAATGTCATGTTGTTTTATATCAGAGGATGCCCATATATAGCAATCAAAACACACACCTTCAACCTTGTCTTCATGGACCCCAATTCTTGTAGCGCAGGGGTGTCAAACATAAGGCCCATGGGGTACAGAGCTCTGCTGGGGATGCTTCTCAGTGGAGTGAGCAATGGCTGCATTAGCCCATGTGGCTCCCCAACACTGTTCACTCTGCTGCTGCTTGCCCCGTTACTAGAGGTAGATCCAGATCTGTCCAGTGAGAAGCCACGTAGTCCACATTCAGCCCAGGGAACCAAGTGCATTTGACATCCCTGCACAAGAGAATAATTTAGAAATGCTGCAGTTGGCTGGGAGGTACACCTCCAATAAATAAAAAAGGACAGAAGTGGTAGGTGTTTGACCATGGGAGGGAAGGGAGTGACAGCCACCCCCTGAAATTAGAAACAGTCATGAAGACTAGCTCTTTTCAAAATCATACATAATCATGGAGGCCAGTCTTTAGCAGTAGCTACAGTTTTAACTCTAGTTAAGTAAGAAAAGGAAGGCAAGTCAGCTGAAGATTATGCTCTGTCCCTGTTGTATGCAGTTATATCTGGGGAGAAAAATTCTTCATTCTGACTTTCAAAAATAGAAACAGGTGTATATGTGAGAAAATATGGAAATTTCCAATTCAGACATATGGTAGTGGCAAAACTATGCTACAAATGGAACAAACTGCCAGCCTGTACTCTAAGGAGATATTCTTAACAAACAAAACTCTTAAGGGTAATTTATAAAAGACATAAGGTAAGCCACAGAAGGTAAGCCACAGAGTTCAGAGTGGAGTCTTGGAAGCGACTATGAAGAAGGAAAAAAACCCCACCAACATGAAAGTACACTGAGAGTAAACCAGTTTATGCTGAATCAGTCTGCAATTTCAGTAATGACAGGAGAGCTGCAATTCCAATATTCATCTAAGCAAATAAGCTCTAAGATGCAAAAAAATCAACTTCCAAAATCAAATACAGAAACTAGTTTGGTAATATTTCTTGCAGTTTTACCTATTGTATGTAGTTTAGCTTTTGGAAAAGTGAAGTATTACTGAAATAACTTGCAGCTGGAACAAGGAATTTTTATAGTATGACTGGCAAGCTAGTATGAAATAGTGGTATCATCACTGGAACTCTTACATATCCAGTGTCTACTTGTGCAACATTTAATGCAAGATCACATAATAGGACCTCAAGCATTTGCTTACCTCCCCACCCCCTTTTAGGAACAGAAGGATCTTGTTTGCTCCATTGAAAAGTTACCATATTTTTTCAACTACAACACAACCCCACAATAATTAACTCTATATATGGAAAATGTATACATTTGTTATAATTTTCCAGCTACAGAATCTAATTATTAGAAGTCTGCCTTGACTTTGTCCCCCATCAATGGCTACATCAGGGAAAACAAATCTGGAGGGGAGTGGGGTCAGGTAGCCTGCTTCCCCTTTTTCCCCCTGCAGTCCTTTCTACTGTCAGACCCTACTCTCCTTGAACACATGAAACTGAGGAGCAAATTTAAGAGCACTGACCTTGAATAAACATAATTTAACATAGTCAAATTACTACACGTACCCATAGACTCAGTTCATCCAAAATTGACGCATTTTACCTTTCTTGCAATGCTGCAACGTTTAGCACAGGTACTCCACAAACACGCTTTTAAGCAACACTTTTGCACCAACTTTTATATAAAAGTAGAAACTATTTTGTGGGGGGAAATGTTTTTGTATCCCAGGTTAAATTAGCCAAATCAGATCCAATTCCTTTTGCTTGAGCAACACTCAAACATCATGTGCGATTCTACAAATGGCAAGTATCCTCCACCCCAGACTTTTCAGCCTGGGCCTTCAGATGCTCCCAAATTCATTGGCAGGCATCCTACATGCAAGTGCAAGCCTGGAGCCTTGGGGTTTGGATGCCTCCAAGTCTCACTTGCCCTTAACCAAAAGCCACAGAAGCAAGCTAGGGAGGAGTCCCCCATTCCCATAAAGTAGGTGTGTGGCTAAGATCCTCCAACTGAAAGCTGGCCATGGGTAGCTAATAACAAGACTGGTAGGGCATCCCACCTGCAGTGCACTGGACAGGGGAGTACCTCCCACTACACAATGCCATTTAAATCCATCTTGGTTCTGGTAAAGGACAAGTGCAACAACTACACTTGATCTTATAAAGCACAAGCTTTTTTTTTTTTTTTTTTGGAAATGTTTTTGTGTTAGCCAGGTAAGTTCCAAATCCTAATTAGTCGGGTATGTTCTAAATCCTTTTGATAATTCAAAAACCGTATGTGGCCCTACTACCAGCAGATCCATGGAGCTTCCAGCCCTGAATTCTGAAAGTTGATACTTTACCACTGGACAATCTGATTTATAGAGGTAGCAAAAAACCAAACAAACAAAAACAAAAAACCTAACCCAAAAAAACAAAAACAAAAAAAACCTACTCAGAAGGTAACCAGTGCCATTGACTGCCATTCTTGTGCATCAGTTCCCAAATGAAGAACTCCATTTTCCAAACTCTGAGAAATAGGATTCATTACATACATGACAGCATGAACAGCCCCTAAGTAAAATCACATTACATTTTCTAAGTTTATTTTTCAAAATATGAGAAGTAGGAATTGCATTTCCCTACTGCGTATAGTTTAATGAGGATTTAAACCTGACGGCTAAAAAGAGATGTGAATAGATTAACATTACTGCAGCTAATTATATCTTGAGTAGAGTCATAGCTAAATAGTTTTCAAGAGGAGACTTTCTATAAGAAATGTCTATTTTTGGAAACTAAAGAGTTTAAGAATCAGTCCGTGACTAGGACTTGTCAAGGCTAAAGATATGATTAAACTGTCAGTTGCAAAAGAAAAGGATCAATAATTACTCTTCAAAATCTGACTGTCATTTTTAGATACAGAAGGACAATCTAGCTCAAATATAGGCACTAATCTGAGAAATAAATTAGGGCAACTTTACCCAACTGGAAGCCCCTGGGCCACATGCAGCCTGCGAGTAGTTAAGTTGCTGCCCTCAGGCTCCTGCTGGACCACTGCTTCACCTATTGCTCTGGCTGTGATAGCAGCCAGAGTTTCCAGGTTTCCCTATTCCTCCTCTGAGTGAGGCTTCCTGCCTGCGTCCCAGGGGTTTCATAGTTTCATAGTTTCTAGGGTCAGAAGGGACCTGAGAAGATCATCTAGTCCGACCCCCTGCCATGGCAGGAAAGAGTACTGGGATCAAACAACCCCAGCAAGGTGTTCATCTAACCTCTTCTTAAAAACCCCCAGGGTAGGAGCCTGCACAACCTCCCTTGGAAGTTGGTTCCAGACCCTAGCCGCCCTGACC